GGAGCTGGGAACCCCGGGAGGAGGCCACTGTGCTTGCTGGAGAGGGGGTGACCCCCAGGTGAGAAGAGGCACCTGGTATTTTTGCATATCTCAACGGTGAAGCTTTGGGTATTTGCCTGAGGCTCAGATGAGGGTGTGAGAGGAGAGGTGTCTGGCCTTTTGGTCTGAACAGCTGGAAGGACAGAGCTGAGGCCAAGGAGGGGCTCCCAGGCTGAGCTCTGGACCCTGGGTCTTTCCCACACAGACATGCACTTCTTAGCTAGGCTCTCCCTGCAACAGCCCCCCACCATCACTGACCCAAGGCCCAGGTACCAGAGAAGCCTCTGCCACGGGGGCAGAGGAGCCCCAGAGTTGCCACCCTAACCTTTCCTGGGGAGCCCTCCCCAGAACCAGGGATGAGCAGAGTTCCAGGCCCGGGACCCAGGTTCCCCGTGGGGGCTGGGTAAGCTGGAGGGGATGGGGCAGCTGTCTGGCCTCTATCTAAACAGGATGTGCTTAGGCTGGCCGTGGTCATGGGTCACTTCAAAGCCAGCCAAGCTTAGGCGCACTCGACCCCACCTCCCTTACTGTCTAACACACATGCACACACACGCACGCACACACACACACACACACACACACACACACGCACACACGCACGAGGGTGTGTACGGTAGCAAGCAAGGCCCTCAGCACTGTGTGCTCTCTGTGACTCTGAACTGTCCTCTGCGGAGAAGCCTAAGGAGCAGCGGGGTCTGGAGCCCTGGCAGGATCTCGTGTCTAGATTGGAGGCGCAGGACTTGCAGAGGCCCAAGCCATTAGGACTGGCTTCCTGGGAGATGCTGCCTGTGCAGAAGCCTGAGGGTCCCGAAGGAAGCAGGAAACGTTTGCAGACACAGGGGAACGGCATGTGCAAAGCCCAGAGGGAGGAAGGAGCTCCTGGCCTGGGAGGGGCCCACAGGGAAAGAAGAGGATGAGGGGACCTCAAGGAGGGAGACTGAACCCCTCATGCCAAGCGGGGCAGGTGTGTGGGTGAAGGAGGTGGCCAGGGGCCCAGGTCCAGAGGCAACTCAGGGCTTAGACTGAGCCTGGGAAGGACGTTTCTGGTAGAGGGAACAACAGTGTAGAGGCTTGGAGGCAGCTTTGGGGAGCAGCCAGGGAGGTGGGTCATTCCAGCTTTTGATCGGCTCAGAGCCAGCCCGTGGGGCAGGCTGGGCAGGAGAAGGCTGGCTGGCCCTGGGCCATGGGCAACTCCTTGCCTCCTGCCCTGCCTGATGCTGCTCAACCAGCCCCTGCACCTCTCCCGGCTGGCCTCCTGGCTGGCCTCTTCCCCAACACTCCCTGGGATCCAGTTCCGGGCCAGTGGGGGCTGGGCCAGTGAGCAGGCGGCGCCTGGGGCAGGGGAGATGAGAAAACCAGAAAGTGGGGAAACCTGAGCCAGCGACGCTGGGCGGGCCAGGGCCTGCTCAGCCTGCTGGGCCAGGAAACAGGTTCCCCCCAAGTCCAGGGCAGGGGAGGGAGTGCCGGCCCAGCGCCACCTTCTGCAGGGCACAGCAGGACTCTGGGGCCCAGGTTTTCTAAGCCCAGCCTTCAGATACAGAGGCCAGGGGGGCGAGGTCTCTCAAGGCTTTTCCAGTGCAGCATCAGGCCCCCCTTGGCCCACCGAGGTAGACAGCCAGTTCAGTCCTGCAGCACGGCCTGAAGAGCCGGGAGGGAGAGACCAGGCCGGGCACTGCCAGGAAGTCTGGGCCAGCTCAGGGGGCTGGGGGTGTTCAGGGAAGGAGGCCGTCCCAGGCTCTCCTCTCTGCTGCCAGCACCTGCCCACAGTGGGGCTGGGCCAGCACCCCCCTTTGACCCCTCAGAAGCTCTCAGAGGCTGAGCCATGAGCTCAGGCAGCATAGCCAGGCTAGGGCCTTTCTTCTTGGCACCCAGAGCCCAACTGGGAAGGCAGAGGGGGCTGCCCTGGGCGGAGAAGACACATGCTGGGAGCTGAGGGGCCTGCGGCAGGCAGGGAGGCCTAGCCAGGGAAAGCAGCCTGGCTGTGTCTCTTCAGGCTACCTGGGGGCGCTTGGGTGGAGCTCGATCAGCAGAGTGGCTTTTGGAGGGGACAGAAAGACTGGGTGGCAGGGAGAGCATGGGGTGGGGGCAGCAGTCCAGAGGACCTAGGTCACAGGGTGGGGAAGTTGGCTCTCTGGCCTCTTGTCTTCTTGGCTCCCGTCCCCTCTCAGTCGGATCTGGTGCCACAGGAATTTGCTCTCCTCATTCCATAATGACTTCCTGAACTCCATAAGCACCCCACAGGGCTCCAGCACTCAGAGCCAGCCCCAGAGTGCCCGGCTGGTTTGCAGGCCCTTGGCTACACGTTGGCCCCATAGCCTGGCCCTCCTCTCCCACAGCCCTTAGAAATGGCACCTGTGCCAGGCACCAGGGCCTGGTGGGCCCAGACCTCACCCCACCTCTCCCAGTCTCCTCTTCCTCAATGACATGCTGACAACATGGACTGCTTCTCAGCGTAATTGTGGGGTACTAGGGAGCAAACAGTCATAAACTCTGCTGGCATGTAGGGCTTCCCAACCTGGTGTCCAGGGCTGGTTTCAAGGGCCAGCCATATAGCTCAGTAGTTAAGGGAGTTGGATCCCACATGGCCAATCAGAGTTCCAATCCCAGCCCCAGTGGCTTCAAAAATACACATGCAGGCCCAGCAGGTGGTGTGGAGGTTAAGGCAACTGGCACCCCCATGGCTTACTGAATGCTCTAAGTTCCAGACCGGGTGGCTTGAGAATCATGCCGGGCGCATGTGCACGTGTACCCAAAGTCCTTAGAGAAGGGAGGAGAAGGGATTGTGGCATGGTCCTACACCCTCCCCCAGGGGACTTCTCACTTCTCTCTCTCTCTTTCCCCTGCCACTCTCAGGTGAGCGTGAGTGCCAGGTACAGGTGCATGCCCAAAGTCCTGACAGGAGGGATGGAGGAAAAAGGATTGCAGCGTGCCCACACTCCACCGGAGGTGCTTCCTCTCTCTCCCTCTGACAATAAAAAGAGGGAGTCTTTAGGCCTCTAAAATTGAAGACAAAATAGTGGAAAGCTGTGATGTAGTTCTCGGATTAAGTATATGTACTTTTACATTTTTATCACTTTTTTTTTTTTTTTTTTTAGTTTTTAAACGTTTTTTCTTTTCGTCGTGGTGTGACATATACGTAGAGAAATACACGCACAGGATCTAGTAACAACACGCTACAGCGATCCAAAATGCTCACCCTGCACGGACAGAGGAAGGCTCAGCGTAGACTCACTGCTGCCATGACAGCATTCTTACCCGGGCTAGGGCCCTCTCAGACGAGGCGCAAGGACGGATGCCCTCTGCGTGCTGGGCCTATGCTGGGTGTCTGAGCTGATCGCTCCGTTGAGTCTCCTTGCCAGCCAAGTCCTAACAGTCGTGCCCTAGTGACCATGAGGCATGACACAGGGGAAAGGTACCATAACCCCAGGCTGGCACTTCCCCACCTCAAAGGCTCAGCCTCTCCGTGGAGCCAGTGAGTCAGGAGACAGCTCAGTGGGCAGGGTCCCTCATACCACCCTGCCCGACACTCAGTGCTCTGCACTCTCGCAGGGAGCAGAGGGACATCCCTTCACTGCCTTGGGGTCTTCTCAGCCTGGAAGGGAAGGGGATGGGAAAGGGAAAGGAGGAGGGAGGAGGAGGAGAAGGGACAGGAGAGAGAGCAGGAGGAGGGAGAGGGGAAGCAGGAGGGAAGGAAAGAGGGGCAGAGGAGAGGAGGCGAGAAGCAGGAAAGAAGGGAGTGAGGGACAAAGGAGGGGAGGAGGAGGAAGGGGAAGAGGGAGAGGAGGGGGGACCAAGGAGGATGAGAAGACAAAGCGTCAATACCCCTGGGAACCTGAGCAGAGCTGGTGGGGCAGGGCTGAGAAGCGGTTCTGGCCGTTGAGGCCATGACCTTGGGACTGGGCGGGGTGGTGTCCCTTCCTAGGACCACCGTAGGACCAGGCCACTGGAAAGTAGGTGTCCCTTTTAAGAGAGGAGGCCCAGCTCATCAGGCTTCTCCGGGGTTTGAAAGTGCAAGGGGAGGCTTTGGTAGCCTGAACAAGGCTGCAGGCGCGGTGGTCACCCCGGAGCCACCGGGTGGCTGGACAGAACTAGGTGGCCGGTTGCCCTGACCCGCTGGTTGGAGGCTGGAGTTGGCTGCCTGAGGGAAAGGCCAGCGGTGCCAGCCGTCCCAGGGGCTGTACCGCCACCTGCTGAGCGGCCCAGGCAGTCCCAGGTCCTGCTCCGCGAGGCTCACGTGGGGGGCCAGGGGCGCGGCCGGCGGCGAGTGAGAAGGAGGGACACAGAAGGGGGTGCGCAGGTGAGCGCAGGCTCCTTGCTCCCCGGCGCGCCAGTCCTTCTCGCCAGGGAGTTGAGTGCCCGGGTAAACACCAGGCGCGATGTGCGCGGTGTATCCACGGAGAGACAAAGCCAGGGCGGGGCGGGGGCGCCGCCTGCAAAGCGGGGGCGGAGGTGCGGGACTCAGACTGGCTTCCCCAGGCGCGGGACGCCCACCGCTTGGCAACC